TTTGGGGGGGGGGGGGGAGAAAAGTGGGGGGGGGTGTGGTTTATGGGGGGGGGGGGGGGAGGTGGCAAACAGCAACGCCGAGAAATCTCAGGACGTTGCAGTCGGACGTTGGCCCTTGCCTGCGCTCTGGAATTGTGAATGAATGAAATATAGCAAGGCGACAAAGAACGCCTCGCCTGGAAGTGGGAGTCTATCCGGGCCAGGGGGGGGCACATGATGTTGCGCGTGCCATGGCGTCATCTGCCTCACTGGCATGAAGGCATCATGACTTGGGCCTGGGTGGCCGCGCCCCTTCGGTTCAGCATCCCAAGTGTTCGGACCGTGTCCTGCGTTCGAGCAATTAGCAAGTCCATGAGCGGGTCTTGTGGCTCGGGGGGGGGCCTGGAAGTTTTACCCCGTGGTTTCTCGATGAGTATGTGGTGGGAAGGCAAGCAAATGCGACTTACTTGGGAAACCACGGTCAAGCGTAACGTGGCTTGGCAGAGAACGGGAGCCCAACTGCCAAAGGCAACCCAGCGTTGTTTCCCAATCTCACCTCTAAATTCCGGCATGACGTAGAAGTTGTCCATATAGAGGTTTTTCCCCTTCCAGCTGTTGTAGGTGTAGCTGGAGAGGATGTATCCAACCAGAGTGTGACCTGCAGAGAAAGTGGGAGAACGGCGACTGTGCAGACGTGGCCACGCAAGAGGGGGCAGAAAGCGCCAGCCGCCCCTCCAACGAGGTTCTGCCAAACTGCCCCTCTTCCGCCAGCCAGGATGGCTCTGAGCCGTTCCCAGAATTTCACAAGGGGGGCAGGCCACATCGCACGGGTGCTGCACAGGGGGTGGGGGGCACGAGGAGCAAATGGCATCCTATGGATATCGTATGTCACCATTTGCACGATGGGAGCGTGACACTGTCCTCATGGCTACGCCGTATCACCCTTCAAAAAATAAGGGGAAGGAGTGCTGCGAATGCCACGTTGAGCTCCTGAACAAAACAGCGGGCTATAAATCTAGCAAACACACAAATATGTAGCCTTCTCTGTCTTTAGACTTGCTGGAGAAACATCCGTTCAAAGGAAAACGTGACAGGGCTGGGCAGACGAGCTCTTCCCCATTTGCTAGGCACGTGCCAGGAAGGCTCCCCCTCGGAGAAGCCTCGGCCTGCTCTCTCCCTTCCACTTATAGAGTTTTTGCGGGTCTATTACAAAGCTGGGCGCGATCTTCTTTCCCTCTGGAAACTGCGTGGCTGCAAACTGGCTTTGGGGAGCTGTGGCCAGAGGGGGTCTGGGGACATCTCTGGAAGTGGCCGAAAACTGCCGGGTCTAACCAAGGGTCTCCTCTCTATGCTCCATGCTGGGCGTCGTTTCATGTGAAGATGGCATTGGGAGAGCAGAAATCCAGCTAGTTGGTACTGTGTGCGAGAGGAGCATTTGCAAATCCCCCCGGGGACCACTCAGAAAGGTCAAGATGGCTGTCTCGCCCACACCCCCCAAACACGCAGAGCTTCGATCACCCCTTTGTGGCCCCCATCCCTGCATCTCCTATTCCTCCCGAAATGCCAGCCTCCCAGAGAAAGGGGGTTCCCCCCAGATTCAAATACCTTCCTTGCTTTTTCGCTCCGGAGGAACTTCAGCCACAAAGCACTCAAACCTAGGGCGAGGTCCAAATCCGTCCTTTTCCAGTTCTAGAGAAAAGTAGAAGGAAAACGGTGGCTCTTTTGGAAAAACAGCCTTTCTCTTCCCTGCTCATTTGCCAACTGGGAAGGGGGTGAGCAGCTGCGGGGGGGGGAGGGTGGAAGTCCGCGGGATTTGGGCTGCCCGTTTGCCATCTTCCCCTCCTCCTGGGCCTTCAACCCCATAGGGCTGGAGGGAATGACTGGAAAGAGAGGTGCTTGTGGTCAGAAGGGGACACACAGCACCCTTTGGCTGAGGTCAAGAACAAGCAGGCGCATTTACACACTGGGCTCAGCCTGGTTGATGTGAACCAGGGTTATTTTATTGCACGGTTGTTTTAGCTGCCCTGTGGTGCGAACCCAGCTGGTTTGGGGAGTTTATGGTTCAAATGCAGGAAGGGGGTGCACTCTGGAACTGGCTTAAGCCCGTTGTGCGAATGCAGCCAACTTCTCCCTTCCTGCAGATCCAGCTGGGCTTGGAGGAAGCCCCAGGCACAGGCAAGCCAAGGCAGGTTCCCTAGAAGATGGGGGACACCCAGCTGGGCGGGACTCTGCCCCCTCAACTCAGCACTTTCAGGGAGCCCAGCAGATGTTTCACATGCCCAGAAACCCCCTGCCCCACCCATACCTTGGACGTTGGTTCTGAGGGTTTCCAGGGGCACGTTGTAAATGACGGCTATCTCCTGCGGAGAGACGAGGCAACGTTAACTGGCTCCCTCAGATCTCAAGGCACCTCCTGAGGCAGGAGGAGTCCCAGGACAGCAGGGCTTCCGGAGCAGGAAGGAGCACGGTAATGGCCCCATCTTTGCTCGTTTGGGCCTGATCCACCAGCACATTTTCCTCTCCAACTGCAGTGAACGAGGGCTGCCCAAGAACACGCGTTCTTCTGCGTAGCTCTTGCGCAGCTCAAGGGAGGACCATCCTGGTCAGCTGGGCCTTCTGGATCTCCCTCAGCCACGTGCCCAAAGGGACCTCCAAGCCGGACTCCACGTCATGGCCCCAGGCATGGGGGGAGGCAGCCTTGCTCCTGTTCCTCCTCCCATCCACGCTGGATGCTGCTCTGCCCATCCTGTTCCTCATCCTCACCTTGACAAGGCGCATGATGTCCTTCAGATCCCTGGGGGCGCATGGGCGGACAACAAAGCTCATGGCGCCTGTCCTTTGTCTGCTCCTCTCTCTGCCTCTTTGCCCAATGTGCTGCTGAGTTGATTAAGTATAGGAGAAGGTGGAGAAAAACCAGTCTTTCCTCCTCCTCCTTCTCCTCCTCTTCCTCCATCACTTGCCCCACTTGGCATTCAGAAGGTCCCAAGTTCAGCCTTAGCCTCTCCTCTCTGAAGGAGGCTGGGAAGCAGGGGTGGGCCTTTGGGGCTCTTCGGAGGCTGAGAGAGACACCTCGGCAAGTCTTGCGGAGACCGGCAGGTTGCAGGAGAGACATTTCTCCCGCTGGGATTTTGGAGACACTTGAGCCTTTCTGCACTAGGGATTTGAAGCATCTTCTGGATCAGGGTTGGCAAAATTAAGACGTGTGGACTTCAACTCCCAGAGTTCCTGTTGGCTGGGGGATTCTGGGAGTTAAGGCTACACAGCTCAAAGTTGCCATGCTTGACAAACACTGGTCTACATCATCCAGCCATGATAACAGGAAAACAGACAAGCCTTATACCTCTTCGGTTACGATGGCTGGGAGATGCGAGGAGGACGCATAAGATGCTAGCCCACAGACGACCTGGCTGTTCACCTAAGTCTCTGCTATCAGGTTTGATGGACCCAGAGGCCCCACAGACACTGTTTGGCGTGTCTGGGGCCAGCAAACCTTTTGCAGAAGAGGGAAAGCAAAGGGGCCACTGGGACAGGCAGCGTGCAGGAAAGGCAATCCCGGAAAATGCAAATCAAATGCAAAAGATCTAGCAAATCCAGCCCCGTCCTAGTCATTATTAGTTAAGCGGTGTTCCCGGGATAAGGCAGAAGTCAGCAAAAAATCGGGCATTCTATTAAGCAAACCTTAGAAAATGTTAGAGTCTGTGGGAAGAAAGCTGCGTTGGTCTGTGGTGGCAAGAAATCAGGAGTTTGGTCGCAGCTTTTCCAAGAAACACCTTTTATTAAAAGGTGTTTCTTGGAAAAGGCACAAACAGACCCTTTATAAAAGCTGAAAGCACCCAGGCAGCTTCTAAGACGCTTGGGAGAATCTTAAAAGAGTTCACCGATGCTAAAAACACCCCCGGAGAGGCCTCAGGTGGGTCTCTGGGGACAGCTTACTAGGGAGGAGGTGGCAGTGAGAAAAGACCTCCCGGCAGCTGACCCAGAGGTAGACTGCCCCTCAGAGTGGAAGTTCCATAAAGTCAGCGTGACTGGCAGCCGTCACTAGACTCGTCCTCTTCTCTGGAGATGTACCCTCCAATTTAGCAGTTCGCCTCTGACATCTAAAGAGGTGACTTCGTTGTTCCACCTTTTGCCGGAGTGCCCTGCTTTAGTGGCAAAGGTGCACATTTTTCTCCGGTGACAGGGAGCGGCACACGGCGTTCTTCTCGGTCTGGTGACTTGTTAATGTTTAGTATCCTTGCAAGCCCTGGTCTTTGCAGCATCTCTTGCGTCGGCTGGGTTGGGCTCTTCCCGGGTTTGGGCGCCTGCCTTCCAAAGCCGTGGGGAAGCCCGCACTCCTGCCTGCACACCCACACCCACACCCACACCCACGGAATCTGCAATTCTCAGCCACCCTCAGAGGTCACGGCAACCTTCCCCAACCTGCTGCTCTGCAGATGCGTTCAATCCCAGGCCCAGGAGCGATGGGAGTTGGTGCCCAAGGCCCTCAGAGCTTGCGGTGGGAGAAGGTGTTTAAAAACATTACAAGCAAGCTCCTGGTTGTGAAGCTGCTTGCACGCACAAAAGCCTCGCATCGTGTTTTGCCAGATGTGGCAGGAAAGGAGCCGCCTCTGAAGGAGGAGAGAAAGTCGCTCCTGAGATGAGAAAAGCCGCTGACCGTTTTGCCTGCAGCCATGCCAGCTCCACGGGCAGTGACCGCACCTGCACGCACACACAGACACACACAGACACACAGCAGGTCTATCCCTCCCCCCCCCTCCGAACAAACCCTGCCAGAACATCTAAGGAACAAAAGAGCCCAAAGGTGAAAGATGCTGGGTAAGCAAGCATACAGTAACTCACACTGGAAGGAGTCGAGCCAAGGCAGAAATAGGGAAAGTGGCTGCGATTCGAGAGGAGAGAGGTTTCTGAGCCCAGACGGGACCCTTCTGGCCATCCAGGCTGACCCCTGCTCAAGGCACGAATGCGAATCCACAAATCCCCTCTCAGGGGCTGCAAGGACAGGTTGGGGAAGGTTGCCGTGACCTCTGAGGGTGGCTGACAACAGACCGACTGACCCCTGGAGGCAAGCGGCCTTGGGAGGGGCGAGGACTGCGAACACGGG